ATTGAAGGGATCTTCCAAACCTGGTGGAAGCTTGATGAGAACGGTGAGTCTACAGGGAAGGAATTGAGTGAAGTCACCCTACTAAATGGAGGAAAGAAAACAGGATGCATTAGTAAATCGTGTCACAGGTAAAAAATTTAAAGGGAAAATCTGGAATAGGGAGAATGATATTAAAATGGATAGGGAAAATGAAGAGGATGAATAGGCTAATTAATTAAGACTAAAAATAACATAGCAGGCAAACAACAAGAAATCATGACATACAAAGCAAAAAAGAAATTAATAGCATGAAACACGAAGAAAAATGCAGAAGAAAATACAATCATCGAAATTTGGAGGGGAAACACACACACAAATACAAAAGGAACAAGAATACATATCAAAATGGGAATTGAGGCCAAAACCGGACTTAAAACATTAGGTAAAAATTACTACAACGTAAAAATACACAAACATGAAAACACAAACTCAAAAAAAAGGAAAAAAGGAAATTTGGGGAAAAAAAGTGAAAGGAAACTTTGCTGCTGGAGATGGGAGAAGTCCGGCGAAGAATTGTCGTCCTCTTGAAAGGGGCCCCTCTTCTTGGTCGCGACGTCCTCTCTCGAACTAAGAAAGGACAAGGAAATTCATCAAATGAGGGAAAATTTGACGACTGCAGCAATGGGATGAAAGTGAAGAAATTGAAGGGATCTTCCAAACCTGGTGGAAGCTTGATGAGAACGGTGAGTCTACAGGGAAGGAATTGAGTGAAGTCAACCTACTAAATGGAGGAAAGAAAACAGGATGCATTAGTAAATCGTGTCACAAGTAAAAAATTTAAAGGGCAAATCTGGAATAGGGGGAATGATATTAAAATGGCTAGTGAACATGAAAATGGATTAATGGCTGTGAGAAGACTAATAATTACAAACAAGTACAAAATTAAAAAATTAAAAAAGAGGACAAAGGGAAATTGGGGAAAAATTAAACTCGACCTTGCTGCTGGAGATGGGAGAAGTCCGGCGAAGAATTGTCGTCCTCTTGAAAGGGGCCCCTCTTCTTGGTCGCGACGTCCTCTCTCGAACTAAGAAAGGACAAGGAAATTCATCAAATGAGGGAAAATACCTCTTGAAAGGGGCCCCTCTTCTTGGTCGCGACATCCTCTCTCGAACTAAGAAAGGACAAGGAAATTCATCAAATGAGGGAAAATTTGACGACTGCAGTAATGGGGTGAAAGTGAAGAAATTGAAGGGATATTCCAAACCTGGTGGAAGCTTGATGAGAACGGT